CCTTGGTTCACTCCTGTTTTGTTGTCATCCTTTTGTCTGGAGTCTGCATGCTCTTACTCATACTCCCATGGGATTGTATCAGGTGCTGGTGCTCCCTCCCTCCTCCTCCTCAACTGTGTGTAAGCTGTTTAATTGGCATCTCAACACTTCCTGCCTGCCCAGTAAAGCACCAGCATTGACTTTCCAGTGTTGAGATGGTTTCCAGGTTGATGCAGACTTTAACAGCAAGAAGTGTCTCCCTGATAGAAGGTGGATGAATTAGTACTGCTTCATTTTTATATTATGCCCTACTCCATTGTGCTGGTTATTGTGATGTGCCTCTATGTCCAAATTTGGAAGACGTTGTTAGGCATGTACCTGAGGGTATATTCATGTCCTCTGAGGTATTTTATACCTTTTGTTTTTTACAGTCGCACAGTGGCCCCATAACACAAATTTAGGAAGGTTTTTGTTCTGCTGTTGTCATGGGTTTTTGCTGGGGGGGTGTTATAAGCAGTTATTGACATCATCGCTGACATTACTTGTGTTAAATGCTTAAATGCTGTCATTGAGACATCATTCATAATGAATTTTCTCAAGAGAACAGCAGATTGTTATTTTATACTTGTCTCATGTCGGCGAATCCCGTTACCAGCCATACAGAAGTCTTCTCCAGCCTCCTGGGTAAAACAGCAACAAGAAGAAAACTGATCGCGCCCAGCAATCTTACCAGGATGCTATAAACTGTGGAAACGGCACAGCGCCTGAGCAGAGTGGGGGAAAAAAGGACGCAATGGTGGAGTTAATGAGCAAAGACGCAGAAATGGTCTTTATACACACTTGTGGCTACACACTCACTGCTAGGGCCAATTTTCCCAGAAGCCAATTAACCTACAAGTATGCCTTTGGACTGTGGGAGGAAACCCATGAGAATAGGATGGGAACATGCAACCTCCGCCCAGACAGCACCCCAGGTCCAGAAGTGAACCCAGGGCCCCAGAGCTGAGAGGCAGCAGTGCTATCCACTGCACCACTTCATTCCTTCCTGTTAAAAAGCAAGGTCACCTACTGTGCTCTGGGCTTTCATGTAGGCTGACCAGAGGAATGTTTTGACAGCAGGACCTTCATGTTGTAGAGTCTGCATTCTGTTTTAATGTTGAAATATACAGTTATGAGCATACCTGTTTACCCATATGTTAGAACAGTGTCATTTACTGTATTTAACCCCCCTGTGCGTGGTGAGTCGAAATACATTTTTATTTAACTTAGATATTCCATATTGGATTAATTGTGAAAACGTGAAAGCATGTGAATGTATGTTGCCAGACTTTTGGGTTTGACTCGTGTCTTGGAAATGGCCCTGGTCTGCCCAGCCACTGGCTGTTGAAGTAGACCTGACACAGGACACAGTGGGTGAGCCTGTAGTCATATCAGCAGGCGCTTCTTTACACAGAGGGAGGTGGGAGTGGGGAGCAAGTTGCCCAACCATGTTGCTGAAGCCAAGACCCTGGATCTTCCAAGAAACTAGATCTAAATACCAAACTGGCTCCCCCCATTCCTATAATCTTAATGCAGTCAATCGTTATTTTCTATGACATTTAGTCTGTTGCGGCACACAGTGAAATTAACCATTTGCTTTGCTTTGAACTGTGAGATGTGATGCACTGTACTGTGCTACCTGTGGTGAAGCTTGAGAAAAGTGAAGCACATTAAACAATTTGTTTTTTAGTGTTCTTTTTAGACTTTTAAAAAACTCTGTCCCTGTACTCGAGCTAGCTTCTTAATAAAAGCTTGTTCAATAAAACAACTAAAGGTGTCCGAGTCTGTAGGAGGAACACTGGGGAGCAGGTCTGCAGTTGAAAGACTCAAAAACCGGTGACCAACACAGGGATACTACTGATTACCATTTAAAAAACTGATTTGAAAGAAATAGTAAAAACTGTTTCAAATAACACCCATGGTATTGATCTCAAAGGAAGGTTGTAGAATCAGGAAACGTCTTATTGAAATTACAATTATTTTGTCATAAAAAGGGTGAAGTCTTCCACATATAGGTCAAAGAACTCAGTCGGGAGGAGGAAACCTTTGGTTTAGTTTTTACATTTCTACAACAAGGCTCATAAAACTGTCAATGAATACAAGGTTGCAACAGATATTCAGAAAAGTAACTAATCTCAAATGCATCATTGCTTTAAAATCTTCCCATTTTACAGGCAACCAGTAATACTTTACTGTAGGGTAAAGCAACTGCCCATTGGATTAGAACAGCTGGCTTTCATGATTTAAAAGTTACATCAATAAATTCATGTACAAATTGAGCCTTTTCTCTAGTTGCTCATCCCATCTGTTGCAAGAATAGTTTCCCTGGGGTTTTTAAGCTGTTCTTCTGTGTGCAATCCATGCACTGATGGATTTTTAAACCACTTGATACACTCTTCCCACACGGCAGCTGAACAGCTTCTGTTCTTCGTGGACATGTAGGTGTCTTTTTAGGCTCCCTAACTGTCTAAAACTCCTCCCACACTGACTGCAGCTGAACGGTCTGTCTCCTGTGTGAGTGAGCTGATGCCCTCTCAATTGTGTCAAATCAATAAAGCTCTTCCCACACTGACTGCAGCTGAACCGCTCCCCTCCTGTGTGAGTGCGCTGATGGGTTTTTAAGTTGCTTAACTGACTAAAACTCTTGCCGCACTGATTGCAGCCGAATGGTTTTTCCCCTGTGTGAGTGCGCTGGTGAGTGTTTAAACTGCCTAGCTGTCGAAAACTCTTGCCACACTGACTGCAGCTGAACGGTCTCTCTCCTGTGTGGATGAGCTGATGCCTTTTTAACTGTGTTAAATCAATAAAGCCCCTCCCACACTCACTGCAGCCGAATGGTTTCTCTCCCGTGTGAGTGCGCAGGTGGTTTTTTAAGGTGCCTACCTGACTAAAACTTTTGCCACACTGACTGCAGATGAACGGTCTCTCTCCCGTGTGTGTGAGCTGATGCCTTTTTAATTGGGTTAAATCCATGAAGCTCTTCCCACACTCACTGCAGCTGAATGGTCTGTCTCCTGTGTGAGTGAACTGATGCCTTTTTAATCGTGTTAAGTCAATAAACCTCTTCCCGCACTGGCTACAGATGAAAGGCTTCTCTCCACTGTGAATCAGCTGATGCCTTTTTAATTTTCTTAACTCAATAAAGCTCTTTTCACACTGACTGCAGCTGAATGGTCTGTCTCCTGTATGTATGCGTTGGTGAGTTTTTAAATGGCTTGAATTACTAAAGCTTTTCCCACACTGACTGCAGCTGAACGGCCTTTCCCCTGTGTGAGTGCGCTGGTGCTTCTTTAAGGTGCATGACGAACTAAAGCTCTTCCCACACTCACTGCAGCTGAACGGTCTCTCTCCTGTGTGAGTGCGCTGGTGGATTTTTAAGTTGCCTGATGTACTACAACTCTTCCCACACTGACTGCAGCTGAACGGTCTCTCTCCTGTGTGAATGCGCTGGTGGATTTTTAAGTTTCCTAACTGGCTAAAACTCTTCCCACACTGACTGCAGCTGAATGGTTTCACTCCTGCAGGGATCCTCTGGTGGCTATCTGAAGTGTTTAACGGACAGAAATGCTGTTGCTGTCTGTGCTGTGGTGATAGTTTCTCCATTTCAACTGTGGAAGGCCTGGGCTGACTCTTCCTGACCCTCGGCGGCTTCTCTCTTTGCAAGTCCCCCCGGTACTGACCCCTCTCTGCGTGCTGTAACTCAGTAATGTCGTCTTTGCCATCAACATCACATCTCTGTTCTTTAGTATAAATCAACTGGGGACGCATGTCCTGCTCTGCAAGGTTTAAAACATCCATTTCCTCTTCTTTGAGCTCTTGTGCAGACACAGACTTCTGTTCATTAAAATGTTGCTTTGCAACATTCTTCATGTCCAGATTAAAATATTTCTCGGCAAAGTCATCAGATACTGAGAGCCCAGGTGTCTCGCTCTCAGTCTCGGTCTTCATCCTGGGCACAGAGTCCAGATCCTCACCACTCTGTCCGCTCTCTGTGTGCTGGGCACTGAGTGTCTCTTTCCCTCCTGCAGCAGTGAGCTCTGTCTCCTGCATCAGAGTGGAGCCCATCTCCTCCTCACTGGGCTGCTGTCCAAGAAAAGCCCTTTCCCCAGCATCAGGGAGAGCACTGACCTCTGACCCTGCAAACATAGGACAACAGAATGAGACCTTTGAGTCGGGGTCAAAACCAAATATAAAGTACCTGCATATTAAAAAAAACAAGATAACATTGAACAAATGTTAACAATTGCCTACCTTCAGATATTATAAGTATGTTTGCTGTTATATTCCAAGATTAAGGTAAAATGATAGTGAATAAACACAATAATGTTTCTACTGTTGAGTCAATATTACAACACTGCATCCAATTATTCAAACTCCATGCAACATAAAAAAAACAGTGAATCCAATACTCGATAAATTTCAAATCTGTGGTTAAATCATAAATCCTAGTTTACACATCATCAGATTGGCAAACTGAATTCTGAACATGTACACATCCTGGAGAACTACCACCCAGTTTTAGACAGCCTGCAATCACAGGACCACGGTAAGTGCAGTTTCACACACTGTCAACACATGGAGAGGAGAGTTCTCTCTCTGTAAAGCTCTTACCACCAGCGCATGCCTCAGTCCCAGCAGCTATTCAATCACAGAAACCAGCAAAGCAGGTCTAACAGTAATTGAGAAATCAGCTGCAACAAAATTAAAACTTCAGATTAAAAAAAAAAAAGAAGGAAACTTTATGCACTTGTAATGCTTTGGAGAATGTTCCAGTGACCTTATTAGTCACCAGATCAGTTGGCAGAAGACACCCGATGACTTTACAACCAGGACACTGAACTGAGTGGATCCTTATGAAACTGAACAATTGTGTAGGATTTCAACTGGAGACAACAGCTGCTGAAAGAAAGGTTGTCTTCACGAGCTACTGTCGTGAGCTGTCCAGTTTGTACAGCCTGTCTAATCTCTCTTGAGACACAACATACGTTTTCTCCTGGAATGCAAAAACATCGCACAGATTCTCTCTGAATACAGGCTGGCCAGGTGAGAGACACTGGGGGCTGCAGGAGTGTAGATTACAGGCTGGGTGGGTAAAAGAGACACTGGGGCTGTAGGAGTGTGGATTACAGGCTGGCTGGGTAAGAGAGACACTGGGGCTGTAGGAGTGTAGATTACAGACTGGCTGGGTAAGAGAGACACTTCAAGATTCAAGATTTCTTTATTTGCCATATACAATATGTGTATTGGAATGCTTACTCGTCCAGCTGTACGCAGTAACATTAGAGAAAAAACAAATAGGCATAAATGACAGACATCCACAATAAATTTACACAATAGACATTATAATACAGCCAAGACAGGACATAGTACAAACAGTGCAGTACCTTAAAGTACTTAAAGTGCAGGTGCTAATCTGAGCTGTGTATGATGCAGACTGCTTGGGGGAAGAAACTGTTTTTCAACAACCTATTGGTCAGTGTTCTGATACTGCGATACCACCTACCAGAACCTGAGCTGGGTCCCACTAAGGCTGTAGGCCATCGTATAAATGGCTGACCCTGCGCTTCTCTCTCCCCGTCTGTGTGTCTCATGGAGAACAAGCTGGGGTATGCGAAAAACAAATTCCTGATACAAGAAATTGTGTATGGGTAGGGCTGGGTGATAATTCGATAACGATAATTATCGCTATATAATTTTCCTCCAAATAATTTTAACAAAAGTTCAATAACTGTTCGATATATATGTTTATGCTTTGCGCATGATATGCGCGTGCGCACAAAATACTGCGCGTGCATGTCGCAGACTGGGCAGCTAACGTGGTGTTGTTTACCCACATGGTGGTGGCTGACAGGATTGTAGTTAGAGTGGAGAAATGAGCGACACTGAAGAAAATGTAGTGCTGCCAACGACCAGCCCGAAGGACGATGACATCGTCGACAGAAAAGGTCATTCAACTTCGGTAATTTGGAGATATTTTGGCTTTTTACGATCAGACATAAAACAGAGCACTTTAAACTTTGCAATCTGTCTGAGCCATCTTCTATGTGTGTTTTATCACAATGCAGTATTTAATTTTTCTATTTAGATATTTATTTTGTAAATTTTACTCATGCATATTTTGACATAAAAAAGACTTGAATACTCTCTACCTCAGATTTGTTTAATGTTTCTGCTGTTTGTTGTGTTACTAAAATAAAGAGTTGTTTTAATTTACCAATTAACTGTCTGGATTCTTCAACTTTCACTCAGGAGAAAAAATCTGCCTTTAAACTTGAAAGAAATAATGATTTGACATTTATCGTGATAATTATCGATATCGACTGATATGAAAATTTTTATCGTGATAATGTTTTGGGCCATATCGCCCAGCCCTATGTATGGGCAATAAAGTGATCATATCCTACATGGGTCAGTTTTCACAGAAGCCAATTAACCTATCAGAATGTCTTTTTGGCTGTGGGAGGAAAGTCACAGGAATACAGGGAGAGCGTGCAAACAGATTGCAGACATGTAATATCACTCCATGCAGACAGCTTCAAAATCGAACCCAGGGCCCGAGTGCTGTGAGGCACAATAATAATTACTGCAACACCGTGACGCCCCTAGGAACAACAGTTAAGAGAACATCTATAAAAAGTGTGAAGTAGCGAAAAACAATGATAATAATTGCTTAGAATTATATAGCTCTCTTCTGGACACTCCACTCAAAGCGCTTTACAGGTAATAGCGACTCCCCTCCACCACCACCAATGTGCTGCCCCACCTGGATGATGCGACGGCAGCCATAGTGCGCCAGAACGCGACTCCCCTCCACCACCACCAATGTGCTGCCCCACCTGGATGATGCGACGGCAGCCATAGTGCGCCAGAACGCTCACCACACACCAGCTCTCAGTGGGGAGGAGAGCAGAGTAATGAAGCCAGTTCATAGATGGAGATTATAAGGAGGCCATGATTGGTAAAAGCAGGGGGAAATTTGGCCATGGGGTTACATCCCTACTCTTTTTGAGAAACACCCTAAGATTTTTAATGACCACAGAGAGTCAGGACCTCAGTTTTACGTCTCATCCGAAGGACGGCGCCTGTTTACATTACAGTGTCCCCGTCACTATACTGGGGCATTAGGACCCACATGGACCGCAGGGTGAGCACCCCCTGCTGGCCCCACTAACACCTCTTCCAGCAGTTTTTCCCAGGAGTATCCCATCCAGGTACTGACCAGGCTCACACCTGCTGAGTTTCAGTGGGCTGCCAGCTGTGAGTTGCAGAGTGGTAGGGCTGCTGGCTAAGGTAAGAGAGACAAAATCACTCATCATGTACATTTGTAATTATGACACTTCACTGGTGTGACATTCTGAACATGGCATGTTAAACTATATAGAAAATCTAGATCAGGACAGCCTAACTGCAATTCATAGTGATTTGTCACTGTCTTACTTTCTGAATGAAAAAAAAAAAACATTTTTTCAGTGATTATGACACTTTGGTATGACAAATAATATGTTTCAATGTCAGAATAAATAATCGGGGAAAAAAGCCCACAGTGGACATTCATAGTTGAGATTATAGGAATGTTAGATATCAGGTGGGGACTTGTGTCAGCACGTGTAGGCTACAAAGGAATAAGTAAAGGTTTATTCCCTGCTGAAAAGAGAAGAAAGAAAACATGTGTCAGCACTTGTAGGCTACAAAGGAACAAGTAACAGGTTAATTCCATGCTGAAAAGAGAAGAAAGAAAACACAACGTTTCAGATGTGGAGCCATCTCTGGGTTTAAGAAAGACATGGCAGATGGGCCATAGCAATAGAGCAGAAATCGCTGTCTTTTTTTCCCCAATGCGTTCTCTCATGCCATGTTCAGAGGGTCATATTTTAAAAATGGTACAGCAAATGTTCTTCTGCCTCAGGAGTTTGACAATCTGTAACATTGTCTCTCACACCTCGGCGTCAGAATTGGGAAATGATTTTATAATCAGGGGGGAGGGCCCACAGTAATAAGAAGAAAGTGCAATCACCTTTTCCCAGGGCAAGTTTTGTGTTATTGTGAGTTTTTTAAATTGGTGTTCGAGTTTCTGAAATATATTCCATACATAAATACAATTTGAACAGTCACTAGTTATTTGGATATTCCTTTTCACCGAGGACATCTACAGTATTCCACCCGGATCAGTACTGACCGAGGAGCGCCATCTACAAACGAAAGGCGACATAACACCACAGCAGAGGCATTGAAGGTGAAACGAAAAACGCGAATAAGAAGCCAACTTCAGCCTCGTCTAAACTGGAGCATCATTAACCAGAGTTTGACACCCCTGATATGAGTCTATGTAAGTGTGAACGTGTTTTCAGCCCTGTTACCGTTTTCAGTTCCCTAACCAGACAACTACAGCTCAGTTTGCAGAAAAGAACTCAGCTGCTACATCACATAGATCTTTGCCACTACACTCACGACAGTGAGGAATATAAAGATACCTTTTAAACACACAGAAATAGACTTCATACCCGTCATTGAACTGACCTGGCAGCTCCGGTTCCGTGTCCATTTCTGCCTTTATTCCTGCAGTGACTTCACGGGGAAGCGTGTACCCAACACGATCTCTCTGTCCCCGATCTCCTCCTGCCCCCGGCTCCTTCTCCCACAGCTGCAATCTGCACTTCAGGCTCTCGTTTTCCTTCTTCATCTGCGCGATCTCACCCCCGACACTGTCCTCCACACATTGCGTGATTCTCAGCACGGCCCGTCGCACCAGAACCCGGCCGACGCTTCGGAGTTTGTCTTGAAACTCGTCCTCGAAGTCAGACATCCTGTTTCTGAAAACCTCTGACACTTCATGCACGATCGACTTGAGTAAAACCTCCATGAAAGAGTGAAGTTCGGTTTCCAGAATTAACACACAACTCGCCATTTTTCTACAGGGTCGATTTGCCATGAGGGCGAGAACTGCTGCGGCCGTGACTCTTGAGTTTGAACACACAGCGAGAAAACAGGAACTGATCACTCGTCCCACAAAGACGATTTCCGGGTCAAGCTGCGCTTCCATAGCGATTGTTGCTATGAAACAGAAAAGGGGCTACTGCGCTGTGGACTGTTATTGCCAAATCGCCGCCGACTTTGCTCAGTTAAATGTATCAAAGACAGTTGTAAAAGGGTTTCAGAAATAAAAGAATGTTGTAATTTTGAATGACTGACTTCTTTTTTTAAACATTTTTGTTGCAACAGTGATACCGTATATACAGTACAATACACACGAGAGTACGTATAACATCAGGGCATGTAACCTAGTTGCATCTTACAAAAAAGGAGGTAAATAAGGTACGCACAGGTTCCATATTCTTACATTAAGAAATAGTTGGGGGATGACTCCTTTGATGAGGACATTGAGACTCCTGAAGCAGTACGTTGCCTAATGAAATCACGTGGGCGAATCAGTCTGGGTTTGCTAGTTATAGAGGGCTCGGCCTGTATATTTTTATTCATTGTGTTTTTCATGTGCATTTTTCATATTTGGAGGTCTTTAGCTTGTGGAATAATGAATATAGAAACTTTTTCTAATGTACATTATTTATGGGGGCTTGAAATGGGAAACTAACGACCAGATTTGCATATAAAAATGGAGATGGGCTGTGTGTATAGTATGCTGTCCAATCTCAACATTGAACTAAATTGACTTTCAATAAAAAATGCACTGCAATACTTTGCAGTTTGTTTCTTTACAAGAGCATGAGTGAAACACGTTCAAGATTTACTAACCAAATGACCTAAAACATTCAGAAAAGTGAGATATTTATTTAATGGAGGTTTTCTTCACGGACCATAGCAGCTTCTGATTTTCCGTGGTCGGGCACAGGGAGCTGAGGCCTGCTGGCGATCAGGGCTGCTGGAAGTGCGCTCAAAGTGAGGAGCTGAGCCCTGCTCTCCCCCAATCCTACCCCCCTGCCACCCTGAGCACGACTCTTGCAAAGACACATCCATGTCCCAATACCAGGAAAGCCTGGTCTCCCCTCCCTCCACCGCGAGCAGCAGCGCTGCTCTCGGTCAGGAGCAGTTTCTCCCCCTGAGCGCCCCTGAGCCCTGCGTCATCTGCCAGAACCGCCCCAAAACCGGCCTCTTCACATACGGCCGCACTGGCC